AGAAAGGAAATTGTCTAAAACGCCACGGACACGTTAGTGGCGTCAAAAATAATCAATTCTCAAAAGAGGCACAATATTGGAAAAATTCTATGGATGCACGTAATGGTCATGAGAGTCTTCGTGGTTGAATTAGTTTTCTATTTCTGCCATCTTTGCGATATTTGATTATTTCTTTCATTCTGGATTTTTATTTTAGTAATAATTCCCTCTGAAGAAAATAAAAAACAAATAAATATCTTTATATATTTCTACATGATTTTTTTTCTTTCTTTCTCTTTTGTTGTTATGTTACTTTTTCATTTGTAGGCCGGGTTGGGGCTCTTAGGAGGAGCAAATTGTATTTATATGTTTTATCCAGCCGGTTTAACAGAGTGTTAAAAATTCTCTGCTTCTAAAATAAGATGTTTGTTTACCTAAAATAGATTTTTGAACAAAGGCTAAATTCGGCGTTTTCTCTTGATACGCTCTGATTGAGTAGCGAAGATACAGCGTCGGAATCATCCAATGAACCCGAAAAACGTTGAAGCTCAATACAAAGTAGCTAAAGAAAAATACAAGAATGGTTTATTACCCCAAACAAACTTTCATATCAAAAACGCAAATACCATTTATTCAGATTTTTTTTATTTCAGTAATCAATAAGAAAAGACATTATTTTCATAATGATATCACTTTATAAAAAGCCTGAGAGCCTCTCGAGGTAGAGGGTTACAGTGGTACAGTTTATGGGGATGCGTGGAGAAGATAAAGCTTGTCCTTAGATAGGTACCTCCACAAAATTGCTACAAAAAAAATATAGCATGAAAAAAAAACGATGTAATAATTTTTTATCGGCTTAAATATATATATCATTCTTAAGAAGAAACACCAAAGTATTTTTTGATTATTTTTAAAAAATTTTTACTCATTCTTATCAGGTCCGAAATTTTACTTAAAAAAAGTAGCTATCAGCCATTTTTTTTCTAATTTTGTAAACAAGTTAAAATCCTTGTTTATAATTATTCCAAAAAATCAATTCTACGTTTTTCAAAAAATTTATTTGACTAAAATTAGAAAATTTAAAGATTATTTAAAATATTTTGAAAGAAGCTTTTACTTACTTTTTTTCGAATAAAAAATTGTTCGAAATAAAATGTAGGCGATCTGAACTGTGTTGTCATTTTTCAAGTGCTGAGTGATGCCTGTCATCACATATCGACAGCTAACGTGAGATTCGCGTTATCATACGGATGGTCATACGTGACGTAACGTTTTTTTTGTTTTACGAATCAGCTTATGTACTACCCGTAATTAGTAGATAATAAAAAACCAAAAATTAGCATTCCAATTTCCTTTATTTTGTTATTTTATTATTACTGGAACTTAAAACATAATTTGTTGATACTATCTATCGAGATAATAAATACTATAAATAATGAAATCTACGCTTAAACTAAAGCCACGTGACGTTTTATAGCTTGTTACCTTCCGTACTTTTTAATGACAAACCATTTAAGCGCTTTTTATCAAAACATAATTACATTTCTTCATTAGTGGGTATCATCGGATTGGTCCAAATTATACAATTTTCAAATCCCTAGACAATGACGAGCTAAGAAAGAGAAGTACAAAGGTGGATGGTGCTGTTATTTATTTTATAATTTTTAAAAATTTAATGAAAAAGTGTTAAAATTTCGATTTAAAATTAAAGAAATGAGAAATAATTGTATTAAAAATTCAATTTTCATTGAAAAAATTTTTGCTTTCAGAAAATATTGTCCATATTCATACGAACAAATAAAGACAAATAAAAGCGTTTGAGATTAAATAGTATATTTGTTTTATTGAGTTTTGTATGTTACAATTCAGAGCTGATTTTTCAGGTAATGGGTTCATTAAAAACAAAAAACGAAACATGATTTACATTCTTCAAAGCCTTGTGCTTTAAATATTGTAATCACTAAAAACCGATGGTATGGAATTTTTTGAGTTTTTCATAAAATTAGATATGGGGGTGTTAATAAAAATAAAAAAAATATTTCTGCCATGACTTTAATAAAAAAAACATATTCATAATAATTTCGATCATCTGTGAATATTTTCTGAAAGTTTCATTAACATCTGACAATTATTTTTATTTTTACAAGATTTTCCAAATTAATAGGTATAATACCAAAAAAACGCGCTAAGAATTATCTATGTTATTTAGTATTCCTTATTGCAAAAAAAGATAAACAAGGTTTTTTAAATCAAAATTTAGAATATTCTAAAAAGATGGAAAAATTTTGAAAAATAATTAAAAAAAAATTTGGTCTATCCTCTTCATAAAAACATAAGCATTTTGACAATAAAATTTTGTTTTCATAAATTTTGGCGTCTTTTTCATCAGACTATGCTCTATTCTTTTGCAATTTCGCGGAGGTACCTATCCTTAGACTTGTTATTGAAATTTGAGGCATATCTAACAGGGATTGTCTAACCTCAGAAGGATGTGCTCGGAAACGATTATTATTAATATTACTATTTTTTAAAATACACACTTAGGCGGTCATGTATCTTTCGATACATGACTGACGAGGCAGATTTTTTTTCCGCAGTAGGTTGCCATCCAAGGCTATAGAACC